TGACAAGCTCTCTTTGGATGGTGCTTTCTATCCTCTCCTCCTTTCCCTTGGCCTAGCTACATACGGTCCCATCTAGCAGGGGCAGGTTTCTGTTCTTCCGACCCAACCCGATGTTCCATCTCGTACTCCATGTACCATTTTGGAAGCCTGTACCGCCAAACCAGGTTTGCCTTTCAAGTTGATGCATGTCATCAACACCTGACCAATGACATCGGCTAACCGAGATCCGGACAGTCGTGTGTAGGTATACAATAGCGATTCGTATTCCCTCGCTAAGAACATGCAACGTTAACCCCGTTGCCTGGGCCTCGAGATGACTCTTTCGACCTACTGTCAACGATCCGCATCCCGAAAGATCCCATCTCAGAACCTCATCGTCCGCCATTACCAAGCCAATTACGTGATGGTCGAGCACTCTTCCAGCAACTAGGAAACAGGCCCGATTACCAGTAAACACTCCGATGACCAGGCGAAGCATGCATTTTTCGATGATCCGAAATATTTCGAAACACTTTTGGTCAGCCCTAAACGTGGGCCCGAGGCTGCGCCCTTCGTCATGTGCCGCGCGTATCTGGGGAACCATTTCAGTTCCTCTGTCTCGGATACAAGCGATTGCGCCACAATACGACCAAGTCACCGAGCCGGCATCTGGCGGCTCTTTGACAATACGGTGCCGCCGAGTCGGGTCCGCGTTGTCATTTCCAATGGCTTGGTACTGGTTGAAGCATCATTCTCAAAGGTGCTCACCTCGCCCTTCCCCCAGGCCACAAGAACACATCATCACGTCAACAGGCCCAATTACATTTTATACTCAAGCACAAGTGTGCGTGGCACCACAGTCACTTGTACAAGTGATTCATCATGATACAACGTGGTGGTCGATCCCTTTGAATGGGTTCTTTTGCTTGTGCTTACTGTCTGCTGCAATGTCAGAGTGTCATCTCTGTTTCCACATTCCTCTCTCCTCAAGTTTCCCCTGCTGTCTCGTTTCTTCTTTACCGCACGCAACAGAGCACATGACCAACACCGGCTGTCCGAAACCACAAGGGCAGCGCCCGGTATGCGAGAGTTCTCACCGCCCTGCTCACACCGCAAACCCATTCTGGGTAAGAGGCTCAGATCATGTATGGCATTGCTGTGTCTTGGTACCTTTTTTTTCCTCGTCCTTCCGTCCACCAGGCACAACTCAGGCACTCAGATGTTCCCATCAAGAGACATAGGTACCTCCCGAACTCCCCGACACGGTTCCTGCCGTGGGTTCCCACCACCATGCTCGGAAACGGGAAAGCATGCCCTCCCTGGTCTGTCAACGCGGCTTTGCGAGCATGATCAAATAATACCTGGTCTCGTGGCCTGAGGAGTCAGGAGTAAGACCATGTTGCCTGCGGTTGGACGACGTCAACAACTCGACGCCTCGAGAAAGGGAGTGAGGAGTCATTTTCTGGAGCTCGTCTTCATCTTGCTACAGTTCCTGACCGAACGAGATCTTACCAGACTTAACTACGGTAACTTTCTTTTCCCCTAGAAGGCAGTACTCGTCCTTGTTGATGCCTTGGGTTCTTCGGGCCTTGCGGACTCACGCATCGTTGGGGGCTGCGAGATGAGGCTTACTTTAGTTATGCGCAAGAGCGTTCATCGTAATGCGTTCACCGTCGAGGGCCGGCTTTGGCGCTGTGCCTGTGCAAATGTTGATGTTCCAAATGCTCTTATAAAAGAGATGGTATCTCATCGCCTGAGGCAGGTCTTCTGGTATTGTATAACCCTTCAGTCTTGAACAATTGCTCCTAGCTGCTCACCCAAGACTTAGTTGATCTTAGCTAACGACCACAATTCACTCTACTCTCGTCCCGCAAGCTTCATCTTCGCTCGCAATCAACAACTTTCTTACCCTTCCACAAGATGATATCAACCGACCTCACCATCTACACTCTCCCCTTCACCAGGGACACTCCTGGGCACGTACCCACCGACCAAGACAGCTATTTTTCCTCCTCCTCCACCCCGTTTTCTGGCGGATCTCCCAGTACCATTCCTGCTGTTCATATCCCTTTCATCACCCTCCCCAATCCTCCCCGGCCACCTACCCCCGGACCGGCACCCAGACCAGGACCTCTCTCGCCGAGGCCAAATGTGCCGAGTCCACCGCCTACGCCGAGGAAATAGGAAACTCAAGTTATGTATGTATAGTATGTGCCTGTCATATTTTATCCTATTCTATTCTATTCCATCCCCTTACTGCCCGAGTATACAACACGGCAGTTTTCTTCACTGTTTAACAAAGAAAAAAAATGGAGACTAACATCAACGTCTTCAGTAGGACATAATACATTACACTAAATTATACCGGTATAAAGCATAAAGCACGGAGCAAAATATGGTGCTGGGTGGGCTGGGTGCGCTAGAAAGACTGGACGGACTTGCCATCAACTAGGCTACAGAGTCAAAAGCTGCATTCATAGATTTCGTATCTGTTTATAGAGAGGGGAAACCCTACCCGCACCCCAACGGTTCCTACGCGCATCCTATGTCAGCCGACATGTAAATTACCGGGTTTTAGCGGTAAATTTCCATGTTTTTAATGTCTGGTAATATTCGTAGTTAGGTTACCTACCCTTGTAAGTTGTACCTCCTTTCGTTACCGTGCCTCCTCTCGTTACTATACTTCCTATTGCCGCTGTACTATCCGTACTCTCTCCTCTTCTCGCCACCGTACTCTTTCTTCCTAGTATTAACCCAATTCCTTATCCTCATCTATTGAATATATTGAATATATTGAGTATAAATAGATGTAATATAAATCAATAGGTATAGTACAATAGCGGTGTAATTAGGCATATAAAAAAGAGTGAAAGAAATAATTATATTAGAGGGTATGTTGCGTGTATTTGAAAGACGAAATTTCGCAGGTAAAAACGGGATTTACAATGTTAGGTGTTATTAGCTGGACTGCCCCATTTTTCTGGGTGCGGGAGGGTAGGGTTTCCCATAGAGAAAGAAGAGAACAGAAGAGGAAGTGATCCGGTGCGAACTGGAGGCTTTCTTTGGGGAAGGAATGGCAGCTGATAGTGGCTAAGGAAATAGGGGGTGAATAGAGGTAGCATGTACTGCTTGTTGAGAGAAGAGAGGGAGAATAACTAATGGTCAATATAGTACTACATACAATGCATCTTAGAGGCTATCTACTACTAAGTTTACACAGTTTGGGTGATGATTGGAAGTAGCAGAATTGGTGATATTGGTAGGGTATGTGACTCGAAGCGCGGCAAGAACTTTGGTTTGTGTGTTTGTGATACGTGAAAAAGGAGATAAGTAGAGGTAAACGCGGTGTAGAGGTAGGGTTCGAGTTACACAATCTTGAGGTTCTCAGACAACAACAAGGTGGGTCCTCTGGGTACCTTTAGGTATTTTCCCAAACCTTTAAACTCTACTCCGGACCTCGTCGAATAGAATAGGTTTCCAAACCACAGTCTGCCCTTGCAAGATAACCTCTCGCGCTTATTACCAATAGTAGATAGTCCATAAGACTGTAGCTTATGGCATATGAAAGCGGTGAGAGGTACTTGACAATTCACAGTGGTGCTTAGTAACAGCCCTACAGCCCTATCAACCACAGGTACAATCCTACTGGACAAAGCCCGGAATTGGATGGATGGCTGACATGGACTTTTTGGTCCGAGTCCCAATCTACCGGGACGGTCTGCTCCCAACGCAATGGCGTCCTTCATCTACAATATCAGCAGTCGCTGTTGATGGTGAATGTCAAGAAGGAAGTAGGAATGGAGCATGAGGTAAGGATACAGAAGAAAAGAAAGAAAAAAGAGAAGCCAGACAAAAGAAAAGACTACCCTACCAGGGAGTTGAACCCTGCGCTAGGTACGGAAGAGTTTGAGACTCCGTCATGTTAACCGATACATCAGTAGGGTCTTTTTTAAGTTCCATTGTTGGAATCTGGTAGCGAAGGTCAAACTTATAAAAGGGCTGTTTGTGTTTGTATGGAAGGTGCGGGTTTGCTGTCTGATTTCAACACCGGAAATACATCAAGACTGGATGTGAGGGTAGGAAAGCTGGACCGTTGGAAACTCATGTCAGACACTCGAGGAATCTTAAAAAGCGCACAATACGTATGGTCTTTAAAGATGTAATATATGCTTTCGGACCATTGAAAAAACGTCATCTCACTTTATTAACATCTCAACAATTTTGCCTGGATTTTCATAGGTACGGTTCCGAACTCGAGTTCGAGGACCTTGATGGTTCCCTTTGTGATGCTGACGGCCTGACAGCTGGAGGGCACACTGACACTGCCAGCACATGCCCGACAGCATGCCCGCCCGCTACTGCCGCTGGGACCGACAGGGGATGCAGTCAAGTCCCTGAAAGGAAAGTCTTGGCTTACCGAATGGGATCCACGTATGTAAGCACGGGGAGCTATATCGACCAATCACTGCAGCCGGCACACAGCGATAAGCTGATAAGACACTGATAAGATCCGGCTGACCCATGGCGAAAAAGACAAAGTCAAGGGGAGAAAAAAAGAATTTTGGTGGGGCTCCCCGTCTTTTGTTTCGCTGTCCGCGTCCGCTAAGAGAAACAAAAAAAAGACACCGACACAGGCGCTGTGCCCCAGAGCCCACCGCCATCCAGGGACCCCGCCACCGCCCGGCCCTCCCCTTCTCGTTCCAGTCCAGTCCACTGCACTCCGACTCCAGCAAAGCCGAGGGCAGACATTAGGTTGTTTTTTCCTTTCTTCCTTTTTCCCCCTTCTCCTCTTCTTTTGCTTCACCTCTACACCACCCGCCATCCCCTCCCTCCCTCCCTCTGTCTGCGTTTGCGACAGCATCATCAAGGCTCCTTTCTCCTTCCTCCGCCTTGTGTCGTCGCCACGGGCATTTCTCGCCCCAGGCCTCTATCAGAGACCGTCTCTTTCTAATAACCAGACATTCCCAATCTCCCCTCTTTATATACCAGAAAACCCAACAAAAAAAAGACAAACAGACACCATGACAGTCCCTATCATGGTCGCTGATGGCGCCGCGCCGCCCGTCAGCCAGGCCGACGTGACTTCTATCCTCGACACTGTCTTCAACGCAAAGACGTCGCAAGCCTCCATCGACGCCGCCTACGGTCTTTGCGAAGTCCTCCTTCAGTCCTACGGCTACCGTGGCCTCGAACTCTACGGCGTCCTTAGCGAACTCAAGAAGGCCGCCGCCGACAAGAAGAGCGGTCTCAAGCGCGAAGGCGCCCAGAACCTCCTCGGTGCCCTCTTCGAGAGGTTCCCTCCTCGTCAGCCCGCCAGCGAGTCCCTCCTCACATCGCCTGAAGCCGGTCTTGTTGCGTGCGCTCTCGACGCCCTCGCTGATAAGGGTGCCGTCGTCCGCGAGGCTGCCCAGTACGGTCTCGATGCTCTCTACAACAACCTGAGCCCCGAAGCTCTTGTCGTTGGCCTCCTCCCTGCCCTCATCGCCTACCTGGAGAAGTCCACCGGCAAGTGGCAGGGAACCATTGGCGCCTACCAGCTCATCGAGAAGATCTCCAACAAGGCTCAAATCACAATTGGCACCACCAAGGAGGAGGCGGCCGAGCAGGATGTTCTCCGCGAGGCCATGGGCACCAAGCTTGCCCGCTTGATTCCCATTGTCGAGGGCGGCATGCTCGACATGAAGAACGAGGTCGCCAAGCAGGCTGTCAAGACCATGACCGCTCTTACCACCCTGCTCTCCAACGACGACGTCGCTCCTCGCATCCCTCTGCTTATCGAGACCATGCAGCACCCCTCGCCCGCCACCGTCCAGAAGGCTATCCACGCCCTTTCCATGACCACCTTCGTTGCCATCGTCACCGCCCCTGTTCTTGCCCTCCTTACTCCCTTCTTGGAGCGCTCTCTTAGCAACCCCGGCACCCCTCAAGAAGTCCTCCGCCAGACTGTCGTCATTACCGAGAACTTGACCAAGCTTGTCCACGACCCCATCGAGGCCCGTACCTTCCTTCCCAAGCTCCAGCCTGGTATCAAGAGCGTTGTCGACCGCGCTTCTCTCCCCGAGGTCCGTGAGATCGCCACTCGCGCTCTCGCTGTGATGGACAAGGCCATGGGTAGCGACCAGGACAAGGTCATTGAGCGCACACACGCCGAGGATGTTGGCACGGTCTTGGACGCTGAGGTCAAGAAGGCCGGTGGTCTTATTGGCGACCCCGTCGTCTACCAGACCGTCCGCAAGTACGTTGGCGAGATGGTTGCCGAGGATGTCAACCACCGCCACTGCAACCGCATTGCTGCCAGAACTGGCCCTTACCTCAGCTTCCTCGTCGCTGACCCTGTCGCTGTCGGTGAGGCCGTACAGAAGCACTACGTTGACGAGGATGCCATCAAGTATGGTGTTCCTGAGAAGGAGGATGATGGCGAGATCGAGATTGTCAACGCCGACTTCTCCCTTGCCTACGGTGGTATGCTTTTGCTCCAGCACACCAACCTTCGTCTGCTCAAGGGTCACCGTTACGGTCTCTGCGGTCGCAACGGTGCCGGCAAGTCTACCCTCATGAAGGCCATTGCTTCCGGCAAGCTCGAGGGTTTCCCCTCCCAGGATGTTCTCCGTACCTGCTACGTTGAGCACAACCAGGGTGAGGATGCCGATATCAGCATTCTGGACTTCATGGTCAAGGATCCTACCATTGCCTCGGAGGGTCGTGAGCGCATTTCTGCTGTTCTTGAGGAGTTCGGTTTCACATCTGGCCCCGAGGGTCGTCAGTCGCAAAAGGTCGGCTCGCTCTCCGGTGGTTGGAAGATGAAGCTCGCCTTGGCTCGTGCCATGCTCCAGAAGGCTGATGTCCTGTTGCTCGACGAACCTACTAACCATCTTGATGTTGCCAACATCAAGTGGCTCGAGGAGTATCTCAAGTCCCACACCGACATCACCTCCCTGATTGTGTCTCACGACTCCGGTTTCCTCGACAACGTCACCACCGACATCTACCACTACGAGCCCAACAAGAAGCTTGGCCACTACAAGGGCAACCTCGCCGCCTTCGTCAACGTCCGCCCCGAGGCCAAGGCCTACTACACTCTCTCTGCCTCCAATGTCCAGTTCAAGTTCCCTCCCCCGGGTATCCTGTCCGGCGTCAAGTCGCAGACTCGTGCCATCATCCGTATGACGGATGTCTCCTTCACCTACCCCAACGCCCCCAAGCCTTCGCTCAGCGGCGTCACCTGCCAGCTTTCGCTCTCCTCCCGCGTGGCCATTATCGGCCCCAACGGTGCTGGCAAGTCCACCCTGATCAAGCTGCTCACTGGCGAGGTTATTCCTACGGCTGGAAAGGTCGAGAAGCACCCCAACCTTCGTATCGGTTACATCAAGCAGCACGCTCTTGAGCACGTTGAGATGCATCTCGAAAAGACCCCCAACCAGTATCTCCAGTGGCGCTACCAGCACGGTGATGACCGCGAAGTCCACATGAAGCAGACGCGCCAGTTGACGGAAGCCGACAAGGAGCAGATGGATAAGTTTGTCGATGTCGGTGATGGCAAGGGCAAGCGGCAGGTGGAGGCTTTGGTTGGTCGTCAGAAGTACAAGAAGACCTTCCAGTACGAGGTGTAAGTACTCCCGTTTTCTCTCTGTTCACAAATGATCAGCAACTAACAAGCAACAGCAAATGGCGTGGGTTCCTTCCCAAGCACAACACCATGATCTCCCGCGAGACCCTTCTCGAGCTCGGATTCCAGAAGCTCATCCAGGAATTCGACGACCACGAGTCCTCGCGCGAAGGTCTCGGTTACCGCGAGCTCCAGCCCGCTGTCATCTCCAAACATTTCGAAGACCTCGGTCTCGACCCCGAGATCGCCAACCACAACGAGATTGGCTCTCTGTCCGGTGGTCAAAAGGTCAAGGTTGTCATTGCCGGTGCCATGTGGAACAACCCTCACATGTTGGTTCTTGACGAGCCTACTAACTTCTTGGATCGTGACTCCCTCGGTGGTCTTGCTGTCGCCATTCGCGACTTCAAGGGCGGTGTGGTTATGATTTCTCATAACGAAGAGTTTGTCGGTGCTCTCGCTTCCGAGACATGGAATGTTGTTGACGGCCGCGTCACCCACAAGGGTCAGAACTCTGCTGCTCTTGACCGCTTTGAGGACAGCAAGCCTGCCTCTGCTGTCACCAGCGGCTTGAACACCCCCATGGGCATGAGCGAGCCTAGCACTGCTGTCAACTCGGGCGTCGAGGATAACAGCCTCGGAGTCACGGGCGAAAGCATGACGTTCAAGGCCAAGAAGAAGAAGAAGATGACCAAGAAGGACCTCAAGGAGCGCGAAGCCAGAAGGAGACTGAGGCATATTGAGTGGCTGAACAGCCCCAAGGGAACGCCGCATCCCAAGGACACGGATGATGAGGATGAATGAGGATCGAATGCTTACGAAGAGGGAGTTTTGCATACCTAGCATGGCTGGTGATCTTGCGTTGCAGTTTAGCGATATCCAAATATGTGTGTAGGGGACATGTGGAGGAAGAACAAAAGGGATGGTTTAGATTGGCCTTTTTCAGTGGGGCTGGATGGAATTTCGGACTTCTTTTTGGGCTCGAATAGGGGGGATCAAGGGGGGTTAGACTAGAAGGCGTTTTCATTTTTGTTTCTGTTTTGTTTTGCTTGTTTGGTCGGGATGATGCTACCCTTCAAAAGTTTAGACGGCATTTGTTTATAGATCTTTTTGGGAGATTGGAATCAAGAGCTAGATGATGATGCAACTTATCCTTCCAGTTTCCTTTTGCCTACCTACTACTTGACCACCGGGCCTTTTTCACTTCCCCAACCATAATACACATCAACACGACTAAAGAGTCTCTTCGTTCTCTTGTAGTGGAACCAACTTCAACTGTAATGCCATTTAAAACCCCATCTTTCCGCCGGCTGCAAGAATCATAAGAACAAACCGAGGTATCCTTCTCCAATCTCCATATCGGGCATTGTCGCCGATAACATGTTTTCAGACCAACGGAAAGCCTCCCTATAATTCCATTAACATGCATATTTCCGAGGGTCGAGACTACCTGTTTCACTCAAGATGCAGACATTCACACTGCTTCAGTATCTACAAGTAATTCACATATACAAATCCTTCAAGAAGCTGCAAAGAACCCCCGCATGACCAGTGGAGGTACCTTAGTTTAAAAAGTGTCAACCGGCCTTGGTCTAGACTACCTAGCTATCGACTTCTGCAGCTCAGCATCTCAGCCAGATCATTCAGAACACCCAAGTCTAGAACTCCGATCAACCACCTAGAGGTCCTCCCTTTCGTCAGGAGACGCTCACGCACATGCATAGCCCGTGGCAAGTGACGCTTCAGCCTTCAGGACATGGTGATCGGGGGCACTAATCTAGACCGTGACGCCTCACGCTTCACGCTTCACACTCTGCTTTGAGACATGCAGTACCTCTAATTATCTACGTATCATCGCAAATTTCAATCTCAGTATCAGGCCTGATCAACTGATAAGGACGGACCAGAAATCTAGAGCTGAACTGTCACCTTGCCGTGCCCATGCTTACTGATTCAGCCTTCGCTAGCTCCCCGGTGACAGAAAACGTCAACGGGATAGGAATGGGCATGTCGAGGTGACAGTTTCCGCTCCCGGTCTGCACGTGCGTCTCCTTTCCCAAAGGATGATCTTCACCGCCACCGGTTGCTAAACCTGTTATGGACGGAAGGGCTGTTGGGCGGTTGTGCGGTAGAGTGGTTGGGCGGATGAGGGCGGGTGATTGTGGTGTTGTGGCTTGGGTTGGGTTTAGTAGGTATGGTTTGGGTTGTTCATTCGTGTGGTTTTGGTGGTGTGGCGGTGGGCGGGTGTTGATCTCTTCGGAAACCCTTTGTTGGTGTTGGGTGTTGGGACGAGGAAAAAAAGGTTTGCTAGGACAGTTCAAAAAAAAAAAAAAAAAAAAAAAAAAAAACGCCGATGACAGCAGTGGTTGTGCTTGTGGCTTGGGATGTTGCAGTTTTCACTGACACAATGGCCCCGGACGTTCGCCGTCTGGACGCATGGATGCCATTGGGCGATATGGCCAAAGCGTGGAAAGCGTGGGGGTTCAGTATCTTGCGACATACTCTCGGTCAGACCCGAAGATACACATCGTTCTAGACCTTCGCTGTCTTCATTGAATCATTTTCCGTCTCGAGATAGTGGCTAAGAGAAGCTTTTCAGCTTCATGTTCAAAAGTCACGATAGTACACTACTCGATTGCCACCTGTATCTTCCGCCGGTGTAGAAAGGGAACCATTTGCTGTTTATCTACCCACTGGATCGGCTGGAGATAAGGTACGGTGCGAAACCAATGTTCACATGTCTTGAATTGACCCCGACAAAAAAGAGGGTGACATTGTGTAAGTAGGTGCCATCATCCAGCGTAAAAAATCGGACAGATGAGGCGTTCCCACGGATTTTGGTTATTGGTTCGCCTTCAAGCCTCAAAGAGGGCTGGGCTAATGCAAAATGCAAAAAGCCCAAACCGCCGCTCGCACTGAAGGACAAGGGTGATGACGGGATGTGAATGAAAGAGATATCAGTGCTCAAACCTGGCATTGATGCTGTGAAATCGTTGTCTGTGCAATTCTGCTTCAAGCTAAACCATTTGTGAGAGGAAAGCTGAGCCGATTAGAATGGTTAGGATAGATGCAAAGTTGGAAACAATGGAACGCTACATCCCACGTGTTCTGCACTAGTGCATCTACGAAGTGTTCGAGCGGCCGAACTAATCGCCCGTTATTACAGGGAGATATTGTAGGATAGAGAAGCAAAATAGTTACGCCGAGGAATACTTGGTGGGAAACTGTGGGAAATATGGGAAAAAAAAAAAAAACGGGAAAAAAAAGATGGTTGGCACGAGGAACAGCGAAGCAACTTGTGTCACCCAAGACTTCGTATCGGAGATTGCAAGGCGTTTGTGGCGTCCATGACTTGCGATAGGAGCGGGAGTTCCCTCAGCTTTGTGGGAGTGTGCACAGCAGCTGTTTGGACAACCTGAAAGGTGTGGAAGGGAGTACAAGAAAAACTACGAGCGACTCATCTTGATGCGTAGGCAGGTGAGCACAACTTGTATACAAGGAACACTTGTTGCCTGGTAGGGTGCAGGCAGGCTTTTCAGTAACACGGTTGACCAAAGCATGGAAATAGAAACCAGTTCTACCAATAACTGGCCATCAACAAGTCTCGGTAAAAGGGTCCAGAGAAGGAACGTTTACCCCAACCCAAGAAACCGGGTCGAGTCGAATAATGTTGCCGTTTTCTGTAGGATACGGGACTTGGTAATGGTTGTTCAAGCTCCCATGCTACAAGAGCCCTCACTGGTTCCACGTGTGCGTGGGAATGTTGGGATGTCTGTGAAGGACGGACCGTTTGTGGTCAAGGTGTCCAAGCACGTCTCGACTGTTTGATCACTACAGCAACCCAGGGAAGATGATGATCTTCAACACTAGCAGATTCTTGGTGTTGATATGGCAGGAGATCGGAGCTGCCGCAGTCAGCCGCAAGGTCGTGGCCTCCCGGGAACGAAACGACCAAGCCATTGTCGTGGTCGAGCCATTGATGACAGATGGCGCTCTTTTCACACGCCGTGGCTTGCCGCGGTCAAGTCGCAACCAACTTTTCCTTTTGCGCGCGGCTCCAGAGATAAGGTAAGGTATTTGCGTGGGTAGGAAATTCTCTCGCCCCCTTGTAACTGTCTCGGGTCTAGCAATTCGGCGTCGGTCTCGGTTGTAAAAATGTGAATCTTAGCAGTGGTTGTGGTGTGGTGAGGCAGCGATATCGAGACGCCTGGATCCAAATGTGGAAACTGAATTCGGGACTGTAAACTACCCCAAGTGGTTAGCAAAAGAAACGCTGACGATGCTAAGCCGATGGGGTTGTGGTTGGTATTCCTCGACACCCTCACAACTCGTAACTGACATCCAGTACGGTCCAACCCGTGCCTCCTTCGGGAGCCCAGGCACAAGGAAAATTTGCCCTGAGCCACAACCGCCACAGCGTCATTAAAACGGAGGTGGTGCAGTGGTTGTTAATCTTCAAGACGCGAAATGGGCCATTGTAGCAATGCACAAAGTTATTCTGCCATCTTTTAGCCAAACAGTTTGAGGGCTTGCATGTGAGATGTTTGGAGGATTCGGGGATAGATTGGCGGTCTCTCGAAAACATACATGGTATCATTGCCTCGTGTATGCAAGGAATACAGATTACTGTAGAGAATGGTACTGGGTAGTATCGCTAGAGGGGGTACGTGTTTAGCGAGGCCATCAGCACAATTCGAAGGATCAACGGAGGGGTCGACTTCAGTTGCTTTCAGTTCCTTGTCGCAGGCGGCTGAAGCTGGGCTTGGTGGTGATCCATATTCGTGCCGGCCAAGGTTGACGCAGCTCATCGGAATTGGATGAGTGGCCGCTGCCAGTCTGACTTTGAAACCATTTTGTCGAAAAGAAGCAAAGAAGATTATGCGATTCGGCGGTGACTCGGGTGTTCGTGATATCTGGCGACGGGCACGCAGTTCGTTGTTGGAGTGTTGAAGAGATCGATTCCCCTCAATACCTAGGTAGGTTCCAAGTGGAATGGATGTTTTGGAGAGCAGCGGGGGGTGCACACCTCCGGCTATTTTCCTGGCTGACTCCGCCTAGTCCCACTAATTAGCGTTAAAATGGCACCCTTGCCCCTGTCCGATCGCTGTCTGTTCAGGTACATTGAACCCAAGTACCACTGTACCCTTGTACAAGGGAAGCCATCGATTCCTTCTCTGTACCCCCTTGCTCCGTTTGTAGACATGGAAATATTACGTACCTACCTCTAGGTACACTACCTAGTTGTATTGATTTTCTTCCTTCAACAACATCCCATGTCGTGGCCAAGACCCTCGACGGCCACCATATCCTCCCACGCGATGGCCAGCCTATCTGTCACACCTATGCCAACATCCAGAATGAACTCCCTGTCAAGAACTGAAAGGTCTCCATGTCCCGATATGGACCATCATTGGCCACCATAGGCCTGGGCTCCTTCTTCCGACATTTGCGTTGCTTCTTCCTGTCATCGCCTTGGTTACACGTCAAAATCTATCTGATCAGCTTTATCTGAATCTTCGCAGCCTTTGACACGTCTCGATTGCAAGACCGAAAGTCTAGCTTCTTGTTACAAGACCTCCCTGGTCTCTGCGGTCTTGTTCTCAACCTCCGAGAGACATAGACTGTCTAGACATATCCTGCCATCTCTTCTTGGGCTATATTGTTGCTTTCCTTCTTGAAAAGACACTAGCATCAGTCCATAGACCACAGACACACCATGGACAACGACCACCGCGAACATCTCGACCCTCGGGCAAGCGGCCGTCACAACTTTGACTCGGGCGTCGAGTCCCGAGCCTCGCAACGCTCCAACGAGGGCTCCAACGAGAACCCCTTTGCCAGTCCCATTCCCACCCGTCCACCATCAAGCTTCGACACATCCTCCAACTCTGGTGGTATAGGAGCTCACCACGAAGCTTTGCCCGGTGGCCAACGATACTTCCACTCTCGTCGAGTACGCAAGGGCGAGGTAGAAAAGCCATGGGCAGAGAAGAAAGACCCCAAGGAGAAGTGGGTGACGATTATTCCTCTGGTCGGCATCTTCATCGGGCTGGCCATCTCTGGGTTCCTGATATGGGATGGGATCAGGTCCGTGGTGAAGCACAAGTACTGTTTGGTGCTGGATGAGGATTGGAGTCAAGGAATTAGGGACAGTGTGTGGCAGCACGAGGTACAATTGGGTGGCTTTGGGTATGTTTCTATTCCTTTTTTCTCCCTTCATCTGGGTACATTCGCTAACATCAGCGGCAAAACAGCAATGGCGAATTCCAGCAAACCACCAAAGACAACGCCTACATCGAAGACGGAAAGCTTGTCATCAAAGCCACCCTCCAAGACGACAAGCTCCTCCTCTCCGACTCCAAAGTCGACCTCCTCGCCTCGGGCGACTGCACCTCCACCGTTTACCGAGACTGTGTAGCAGCCACCAACACCACTGTCGGCAACAGTTCCATCGTGCCTCCCGTCCTCTCGGCCCGTCTCAACACCCGTCTCGGCGCCTCCATCAAATACGGCCGTGTTGAAGTCACCGCCCGCCTGCCCGAAGGAGACTGGCTATGGCCCGCTATCTGGATGATGCCCGTTAACAGCACCTACGGCCAGTGGCCTCAATCCGGTGAGATTGATCTGGCCGAGTCCCGCGGCAACAACTACACGTACCCACAAGGCGGCAACGACATCATCTCTTCCACGCTGCACTGGGGTCCTTCTTCCCTTTCAGACGCCTTCTGGCGCACCAACGTCAAGCGCCAGGCCCTGCACACCACGTTCGCAAACAAGTTCCACACTTTCGGTCTCGAATGGTCCGAGAAGTACCTATTCACCTACGTCGACTCGCGCCTGCTGCAAGTCCTCTACGTGAACTTCAACAAACCCCTCTGGCAACGGGGTAACTTCCCGCAGGTAGACGAGAACGGCACTCGCACCACTGACCCCTGGGGATACACGGGTCGCCTGAACACGCCGTTTGATCAAAAGTTCTATTTGATCTTGAATGTCGCGGTAGGAGGAACGAACGGGTGGTTCCAGGACCAGTCGAATGGCAAGCCGTGGGTGGATTCGAGTCCGAATGCCAAAAAGGACTTTTGGCTGGCTAAGGATCAGTGGTTCCCCACGTGGAAGAGCCCGCAGATGGAGGTGGAGAAGGTGGTTATGTGGCAGCAGTGTGATGGGCATGAGGAGCTGTAGGCCTTGTTTCTTTTCTTTGCCTTTTTGTTTTTGGGTCAGGGTGTCAGGGACATGGGATCGGATGGGAGTATGATTATAAGCATGGAGAGATTGGATAATACAATGATGACAGCTAGAGGTACTTAGACTAGTGTTGGACCTAATTGTTATCTCGGTTAATCTTGGTTATGTGTGTCTGTCTCTTACATGATGGTCATAACAATATATACTAGAGCTAACGTTCGTTACATGAGATACTTTGGGAGAAGAAATCCTGCAGTATGTTTTCTATGAATTTTGGAATCGCAAAACACAAAGGTTGAAGCAGAATCACAGTAGGTGGAGATAGCAGGGTGGTGAAAGTGGAAGGATTCCACCTGCCAGTGACAGAGCCCCGCGATGATCTCCCGCTGTGGATGCTGTCGTGGTCCGCTGCATTTCAGGGTCTGATCCACCAAGTTCCAGGTCCGGTTCCACTAGGTTTTAGAAATGGATGGGGTTGAGGGGTGTGTGGACTGAACCCCAGGCAGCGATCGATGGCGGGGCAGAGGCCGGGGGGACACGGGCAACCTTGGACCTGCCCTTGAATTTCAAAATATGGATTCGATGTGTAGGTGTGTAGTATCATTGTCATTGTTCGAATTACTTATGTGATGACATGATTTGGACGATAACATTGAGGTATACAAATGCCTAACTATACAAGAGGCTCAGGATGATGGAGAGGTAGTGTGGTCGTCGATCCCGTCCATCTCGGTGGACAAACCCCAACCCAAAACAACGGGGCACCGGGCGGCGATCTCTCAACACCGGGGCCGATGTGTGGGGCTATCCGGTCTCTCACTCCTCCACACTCCCGGCCTTTTAGGCATCCGTCCCGAGAGCTTGCCGGTAACTCGCCGGATCGGAGACAACGAAATTAACTTGCGCGGTCCGTCCGCCCAGTCCTCAACTACCTACGGTTTTCGCAAAATCTCCTCACTCCAAACCTGTGTCACCAACTGCTACGGCTCGCGACAGCCCCCGGTATTTTCCGTTGCAATGTCAACCAGTCATATCGCCGATGAAGTGCACGACCGCTGAAGATGAATACGAGGAAAGACCTACACATATGGGCCTTGCAGAGTGCCAAAAATAGGTGGGCGATCTTTGCCTTGGCGTTTGCATTTCTTGTTCGCATCCAGCAAATCCCGGAAGGAATTGACCAGTGAAACACGAATGGTCTGGATAAATCGGCTCAAAGGTGGCTTGAAATGCCAAGTTTGGTGCCTGGCAGTGAAGCAATAAATACTGTGTAAGCCGCATATAAAAGGGCGGGCAAAGAGTTGGTAATTGGTGCGTTGGCAGCACTCGTAGCCAACGATAATTGAAGGGATAAAGAGGCTTTCCGATCTGGCGGTCGTTTCCTTGATTTTGAAATGTTGGTGATGAGAATGGAACGCTTCAACACTCCTGTTGAGGAATGGAAAAGATGGTGTGGTCTCCCTCGGGCCGTCTTGGGACCTCGCATTGTACATTGGATTGTTCCCTTGGTGATTTGACTAACAGCACCGTACGCCGAAAAGCTTATCTCCAGGGATAAGACAAACCATCCAGTAGGCAGCGAATGAGATGCAAACGAAAAAGTCAAAACAGAAAGATGGTTGATGTGGGTGATGCTGACAAGCGGTTCCGAATTGCCGTGAGCTGTCAGACTTGTCACTGCCGTAGTGCCGTGTGCTTGCTTTCGGGACTGGACAACGCTCGGACTGCATCTGGATACGATATCTCTTGGAGCATAAGGGCGGTTGTTAAGATGACAACGCATCGTGCCTCTGCTGAAAGCCTTATCATCTGTCTCTCGGAAGAGGCCCGGATCTCCGACCTAGATGGCTCCACGAGAGTGAGACAACACGCTCATTTTAGATGCCCGAAGAGCTTCCAGAACAGGGTCAGACATGGTGGTCAGCCAGCCTTTGCACAAAGCCATTGTTTCCTGAAGCGCTGTCAGTAAGTACACTTGATCTTGTATCGAGGGAAGGCAGCTTATCTTTCAGTGTGTCATGAGAGGCTGCAAAAGGGCGGGACTCAGCTATTGTTCGATAGTGACGTGCCAAGACTTATGCTTCTTTACCATGCATGCGAGGGACACTGTGTAAATAGAAAGTGTGTAGAAAAAGATGCAAACTATCGAGTGATATTGATGTGAATTGTGCTTGATGGAAATTTGCGGTGAATGGAGATTGTTGACAGAATGTTCTCCTCGGTAATGAGATGGCGCAAAACTGTGAAATTGTGGCTTGAGCGTCAGCCGAAAAAGAGTAAGAAAAAGGGAAGAACAAAGACGGAACAGCAAAAATGGCGGATAGTAATTTCTGGACCCCCCTCCCCGCGCGTACCTGAACGCCAAGCCAAGCCGGGTGTGGCAGGTCCATGGGGGGTCAGATTCAAAATGGGACAAACAGTGGAGCAGGAGTGACCGGGCCGTTCCTTTGGGTCTCAGTCCTCTCCTCCTCCAGTCCTCTTCCTCCACTTTTCACGTCTGTTCCTCGCTCAGCATTTTCGAGCAACGTGAGCAACACCAACGTCAAGTGGAATCAGAAGAATAGCGTGGGATCGAGACGACATTCGTCAAGCGCTTCAATCCCCGACACGTGAAGCAGGAAGAGACAAGCTCAGCCCCCAGCCAAAAATTGAATCAATACTAGCCGCCATTGCTACACAGTGGACATTATACTATGGTATGGTATGCCCCAAGAGGGCAATATGGCCAATATTCTGCCCATTTTCCATCTGTTTTCTTGTCATAAACTGCTCTTACTGACACCTCCCCCGTCTTCCTCCAGAACGGTGGACCATGTACCTCTACACGACCCTCGCCACAAATCCCTAGTAGGGACTCCGTTTCCTCCAGTCCAACAAGAAACGGAACACATGAACCGTGCCATTGGCATTAGTCAATCACACACTCTTTTGGCTGCTTGAACTTCTCAGGGAGTCTGTGTGAGAGGCCTGACCTGGCAGCCTTTCCCTGTTCAACCCTTCCAGACCATGTGTTGTTAGTGATGATCCCGGAATGTTTGCCGTGTCAACAGGGTGGCCAACGGTAGCATGGGCGACATAGGTACCTCCTCGCGATGTACCGTTGCACACATATTGCTGGCAGTGGATAGGTTACTGAGATACCACCACATCTGGCCATCGTCGATATACATACCTCAAAACGGTTGTTTGCTCCCGTAACGCTAGGTATTCGACCAGACTCGGGTAAAGTTCCAAGGGGGTCGGTCCCTCATGTCCCCTCCAAGGTACCTCTATGGGCCTTTACACTTTTCTTTTGGACGAGAGGTGGGGGCTCCTTGCCCTCGACATCCAGCCCGAACTGTCGTGTTCTGTTCAGTCCAGGTCAGCTTTTCTTATCACCAAGTTCAGCTTCCATTGCCAACATGAAAGGCTAGCCCCTCGCCTGCTACAGAACCTTTTATCCAGTCGAGGAAAACCCGGTCAATCTTTTCTGACCCGGTATCCCCTCTTACTTTGGCACATTCTCACACTCGCTTGACCCCGATTAGAGTTCCGACATAACATAGACAGACCGGCACAGAGGAGCAAGTCCCTTGATACCCAAGTGACACAGCAGAGCCACACGGCACCAGGTTTTATCCGACATCACCTTACACCACTGTCTCACGGTGTTGGATGCAGATCGCCTGAAGGCAAAGAAAACACATCCTGTATGCCGATCCCCGTCACATTTTCTAGGAATTCCGGGGAGGTGTCTTTTTGAGAACCATGGGCTGACAGATTCATCCATCACAGGCACAAGACCAACTCCATCTACTTCATCCTTGACATCTGCCACGGATTTCGGTCAACCTGTCTGATCGTTGCTCCCTTATCCCATCTCCCCTCAGTCACTCACTCTCCGGAAGTTTATCGACTGGAAAAGGTGAGGGTTGGATTTCCGTCGCCACCATGGGGATAGGGAGCTATTTCAAGGCCAAGAAGCCGGAGCCGGCAGGCCAACAACACGCTGCCTCAACACCATCGAGAGGTCGTCAACCTTCCACTGGGAACACACAAGCCGGTCAGGACGATGGCGACATACTCGCCCCTCCGCAGATCCTCTATGGGTCTAGATCTCGCTCGGCAACGCGCTCTATGATGTCGTCAACCAGCTCGGTGATCCTAGAAGATATCAAGCATGAGGTCATGGTCAACTATCTCTACCAGCAACAATGCTCGTACCTATGGGTAGCAAATGGCAGTGGCGAGATCGAGGGTGTGCTTCTTCGAAAATCCAGAGGCCAGTACATGGCCTGCCCGCCGGCCTTGGGTAACTCGCCTTTCGCCATGGCGTGTGCTGCTCTCAATGTTCAGGTATGATTTCCACGGCAGAGTTGGATTGTTCCGAGCTAATAGCAAGATTACAGTGTGCAATGACTGTCAACTCACGAGTCATCAAGACCTTCCTCCAATGGTCGCCAGATGCTGTCGATGTCCCGCTTCTGAACGGCTTGCGAGTCCAAATTCTGCCCACCATCGAAGACCTTCCTCGTGCCAGGAAACACCAGTTTGCCGCCTTTATCGCGTCAGAGGGGTTGCTGGTGGTTTGGGATGACGACGCACTCCATCTGATCCCGAGAGCCAAGGAAATTGAGTCCGAGCTTATGCAGCTCGTGTGGAAGACTGGTGAGCCTGGTGAGATGGATGAGAAGGCCAATCCCATTGTGGGTGCTACCGAGATTGACGAGGAAAGCGGCGAGCCGAGGCCCGAAGCACGACCGGTCCACCTGCTCAACACCTACCTCGTCAGTATCACGATGGCGGTCGTCACAGTGTCTTTGGGAGCAGCCTGGAGGCAGTTGGCGATCGAGGTCATGGTCGACGGCGATTACGTCCGTTTGGCTCTCGTTGCGCTGGCGCCCGTACAAATCTTCTTCACCCTCTTCTTCGCTCAGGTCATCATCGGTTGTCTGGCCCAGATCTTTGGACCCATCAAGCAGCTCTCGGTCAACTCCAGGTTCTACTCGGCCAAGCCACCACCGAGATTGCAGACAGCCGTTCTTCCCCATGTTACAGTTCAGTGTCCCGTGTACAAGGAGGGCCTCAGTGGTGTCATTGCCCCTACGGTCAAATCCATCAAGCATGCCATGTCCACTTATGAGCTTCAGGGAGGTTCAGCCAACATGTTCATCAACGACGACGGTCTTCAGTTGCTTTCGGAAGAAGATCGTCAAGCCCGTATTGACTTTTACGCTGACCACAGCATT